TACTTCTTCATTTGTGACGTCCACAGTTTCGTGTAGAAATCGTATCCTTATCGGTCTACAAAAACGAGCTGAAGAGGGGGTCGGATTTACCCAAATAGTTTTTTTTTTTGCTAACAGTTTTAACGGGACCATAGAACTTTGAAAGATGTTTGCGTCAGATGAAGTGGTATTCTCAAATTTTTGTTTATATTGTGATTGATGTGAGCCATCACATCCCCATTTATATATTAGTTCTAAGTTTTTTATTTCGTCATCGCTCAACATTAATAAAACTTCTTTTAAGTATTCGCATAATCGCGAAGAAGTGTGATCTAATAAGTTTTGTAATTTTATTTCAACACTAGTTTCGCTGACTGTTATGGCATCCTTACATGGATAGCACTCTTTCTTTGCTCGTTGCAAAACGCTGTAGCATGGGTATAATTTCTTGTCGCTAGTCCTAATAATTTCATATTGTCTTCTGGACAAATCAGCTTCAACAAACATCGCCAAAGCGTCTTGCGGTGACATTTGTCTAGCGGCCGCGGCAGTACTGGCAGCGGAAAATGCCGTTTCATATTTTTGTCCTCGCCTTGGGGAAACTACTACGTCTTTTACTACTCGAGAAGCAGATACGTTTCCAGATTCACGTAATTTCATTTGCGCTGCATATGTTATTTCATCTACCGATAAACTTCGCAATTCTGTTGTTTTTCGTCTCTTGGTTCGTTCGCTTGATTCCTCAAAGGTTTTAGTTGGTCGACCAACACCAGAAGTTCGGTTTTCACAGGGAATGCTGATTGTACCATCTAACCAAGCGGCATTTTGCTTTAAAAATACTTCATGTTTTTTATGAGCACCTTGCCATTTAGTCCTAAATTTGGATTTTAAAATTCTTATTTGTTGAGAAACATTTGCCTTCTCCTCCTCATTAAAATTCTTATCGGTAAGTAAATAGTTTTCCATGAAAACTAATTTTTCTGACAAAGTTTTTTCTGGACAATTTCGCATGATCTCGTAAAGATGTCTACGGGTTACTACTTTCATCTCAAATGAACCTAAAATCGAATATAATTAATCTATTAAAAAGAGTTCATAGAGTTTATATTATAAATTAATATAGGAAATAAGTAGAAACTTTTTATGAGAAATACTAAAATATTTAATTTAATTCAAATAGTAAACAAGTTTCGAAACTATTATTTCATCTTCAGTACCTAATATAGAAAAAAAGAAAAAATTAACAAAAACGTTAAACGGAAGGACAATAAAACGGTAAAAAATGAAGGTAGTGTAATGGAAAAGGAAAACTTACTTAAATTAATTTACAAATTGATGGAAATATTTAAGGTTTTTTGGGATTAGGTATAAGCTTTTCTTCTTAAATACAAAATAATTTAAAATTTGCAAAAAACATCAAAAAATTAAATAAAAAATCCTTTAAAATATTTTTGGAAAATAACCTATGTTAAGGGCTTTTTTTTTTTTTTTTATTCTTCTGACTTTTCTACTAATTTTCAGACTTCTGTCTATGAATTAGTTGCTTTTTTTTTCCAAATGTTATATGGTTACCTTTTTACCTTATAGGTTTTTCCTCGTTTCCTCCATTTTCTCTCTCTGTGTTCTTGCCTTTTCCCATATGGGTATCCTGTTTAGTTCCTTTCGTATTGTGTCGTTTTTTGTTCTCCATTCGTATCCTCCTGCTTGTTTTAGTCTTCTCATAATGTTTCCTTCTAGTTCTTTCCCGATTTTCTCATTTCTCGCTGTCCAAATTTCCATCCCGTATGTTATCTGCGGTTCTATTATCTTCGTTATCAACCTGTTTCTCTCCCCTTTTTCTAAATATTCCTTGTTGATCAATCGGTAGAGCCTTCCATATGTTCTGTTGGCGAGAGCCTTTCTTTTCTTCGCGTGCCTTTTGAAGTTGTTCTTTTTGTCGAATGTTATCCCTAGGTAGGTGATGGCGTTTTTCGTTTTTATCACGGAGCTTCCGATTCTGATTTTGTCTTCTGCGTATTTTCTTCCAGCTAATCTTGCTACCTCGGTTTTTCCTGTATTTATTTTCATCTTCCATTTCTTGGCCCATGTTATTACGTTAGCTGTCGCTATTTCCGCCTTTCTCATCGCGTTCCAATATCCTCTCCCTTCTGTTATTATCGCAATATCATCTGCGTATTGTAGAATCTTTCCTCCTGTGATTCTTGGTATGTCGTATGCCATCACGTTGTATAGGATGGGAGATAGTGGAGATCCTTGCGGTAACCCCTCTTCC